CTCGAGTTCTTGCAGCATGTTAAAAATAGTTTATTTGCAATTTAGTGCCACTTGGTACCGTTTCTAGCAATTAAATAGATGCTAAAGTCATGTAGCCACAGATAAATTAGAGGATGTTGAATATATGAGAGGTTCAAAGTCCAGAATTCAAGTTAAAATAATACACAATTGGCAAAATATAACACACACACACACACACAAAAAGAAAAGGAATAATCAGGATTAGTGGTATATAGATATTGTAGCAAAAACATCCCACACGATCTTACAAATCAGATTTCCCAAACATAAAATTTTTTTGCAGTTATTCTTTGCTAGCAGTCCCTGAAGTCCAGTCAGCACAAGGCAATTCAAACAAGCCTGTGACATATTTTTATTTGTTTTTGCCTTCCTGAATAGGATCATAATCTGGAGTGCAGTCCTTCCTTATCCCACTTTTTAGTAGATTCCTGTTGAGTATATTTTCACCCTTAGATAGTTTATCTGATCCTTAGCCACGATAACTGGCTCCTTCAAAGTACTGGTTCATGCCTCATCACTTCTATGCTGGTGAAGTCCTGTCTGTTCAGCTTCATCTCCAAAAAATGCCTTGCAGATGCCCTGTGTGAACTCAGCTGGCTTCATTGCTGATAGTAATCTCTTCTTGTTTCGAGACCTAAATGTAACAACAGGTCGATGCTTGGCCTTGCTCTAAACAAAGTAGTTATCTATTGTGAATGCAATTCTGCTGCTGATTTACAGTTTGCTTTCAGAACCATTCTGAGTTCCCAGAGGTCTTCTCTCATCACGCCTTTGTAGCAAAGTTCTTTAAAATTGTTTTGCTTAAGCATCTATGAAAATAATGCTATCTGTCATTAGCTCTTAATGGAGGCTAAATAACATAACAAACCAAAAAGCATAATACTGTCATTGGGAATACATGGTTTTCTTTTTTTTTCCCAAAAATTTTGGATCTCCATACACCAAGAAACACGGTGTACATATCTCACTAAGAGAAACATGTATGTTTAGTTCATCAGAACTGTGGAAACACAGCATAGTCAATGAGGTCAAGTTACTGAGTGTGAGAAGCCCAAAAATAGGCAGCACCAGTTCACTATTTTTTTCCAGATATCAGCTTCTCCATCTGCAGACAAAAGTTACAGTAAGTAGAAATGTTGCAAGCTACTTTGCTGAAACTAGAGAAAGTTATCTTACACTGACAGAGAGTGGAGTGTATGACTGTAAATAGTTCCTTAATGTCTAAACTTACAGCTTCAGAAAAATTGGGTTTGACTTGAGCTTTCAAAAGGAAAAACAAGCAATAAAGGTATCTATTTTCCTTCCAAATCAAAATGAGCCCAAGTAAAAGAGTTGGAGTTATTCTCATAACCTGTTTCTCACTTCCTGCTTTCCAAAATGATTAACTGGAGAATCCCTAAAGAAAAATGAAGAAATAAACATCTGAATAAAGACTTTAGGAGCCATCATATTTAACACTAATTTCTATGTCTAATCCAGATCTTCAGAGAAGATTCAGTTAGGATCTTTTGTAGCAGAACTACATATTCTGTTACAATGAAGGACTCCTCATGATTTTTTTGGGCTTGTCTAAGTTTTGGACATGGGTGGTGTCACATTATTTTGGTCTCATGCATATATATGTTAGCTATTAGAGAAGCTCTTGCATAGGTATTAGAGGAATAGTTTGACCCCAGTTCTTTGGGCTTCCTTCTCAAATTTCTGAAAAAATAGTAGCCCCATTCAGTAGTTTTGATAACCCTTTGTTATGCATTTTTCTTCTACTTTCATTTTAGGTATCAAATAGAATTTCCTAACTATTACTGCAGTTTGAGTTTTATCAAATATCCATCTCTTTGGATAGCAGTTTCACTCCAAATTAATATTGATTACTTTATTAACTTTCCTATTTGCCATGAAATAAATGCATTCATTGAAACTTAAATTATTTAATGTTTTTATTTAAGTAAGTTTTTGATACAGAGAGCTATCAAAGTACTGCTAAGTAGTCCGTAATAGTTATTCACATGTTCAGGCTTCTGAATATTTACTGTTTGCTTTCAGTTTTGCATCCCTTTTGATCAAATATACAGGAGTCTTGGTACTATCCAAGAAACTGAAAGTAGATTTTGAGGATGAGAGAAAAACCTGAAAGTCTCATTTCTCGATTTCTTGAAAGCTTTATGTTGTACATACTGTAATGCTAGAGTGTTATTGCATGCCTGCTGTTTTTCTGAACTGTGCTTCTATACGTGATTACTTTCTTGCTAAAGCAACCAGTAAAATTACAAACTGTTGGTGACCTCTTTTCTTAGTGTGAACTCCCACCTAGATTTTTTTTACTCTGTAGCTGCAATACCACACTATAATCTTAAAAGCACAGTGAAATGTACATACCCCAGGGCACACTGCTATTTACTCCTATGCAGTTTTTTGATGGGCTTTGAGAACTCTGTCAACCATTTTGAAGTGTGTGACAGTAAATAGAATCCACATAGCAAGTTCAGTAATGATCATTTGCAGCTCTCATGGTTCAGCTGCGCACAAGGAAATCTCAAATGGCTGGTGGGATTCTGCAGCCAAGCCTTCAGAACAGGCAGACTGAAATACTATCAAGAGGAAGGCTACCACCTTTGTCAAAAAAAAAAAAAAGGAGCAACCAAACACAGAAACATAGCAGTAATCCCTATTATAGATAACGTTTTATTTCTCTTGAAATAACATGTGCTTTGGCAGCTGCTAATAGCAGAAATAGATATATAGATATATGAATAAAATGTTTCTCTGACGTTCTGCATACATGTGCTTTTGTCGGAGGATTTATTTTAGGTTTATTATTAAACACAAGTGCAAGCAATTGTATTGTGGCAGAAAATTACTGAATTCAAATAACCGAGGCTCTGCGTACTCAAGAGAGCTTTGCATCAAATGTCATCTTTCTTTGGGTAATGCAAAGTTTTGCTAATTGTATTTTGGGCAACGGAAAAACGTGTCATTCAGAATTTGAATAAACAATTGCAAGTTTTCTTCAGGAGTGAAAATTTCCATTTGGGTTAAGATGTTAATCTATTTCATCTTCTCAGTGGCAGTTTTGTTTTCATTTCATCTATTTTTTGAGTTAGTAGCAATTTCCTTTTATATGGAATGCTATTTTCCATTTAATTTTATGTTTGCTTTCAGAATTAGTAGGAGAGATGAGTTCTTGGAAACAAGGACAAGATGTATGAGAAAATAGTTGCTCAAAGCTCAGATTGTAGCAGAACCAAAATGTAGTATACATGTGTTGAAATCCAGCCTTATGAGTAGGTAAATGAACATTATCATGCAGTAAAATGGCTTTAGTACAGTTGGATTTCTGGTTTCTGTGTGAATCCATATTTTTCGGATTTGTGGTATTAAAAAGTGTTATTTGTGTTAATGTTACACTTGCCACATCACAGAACTAAGCTGTAGAGGGGGAAACATTATGATGGTCAATACTGGGACAGGTCACTTGAGTGTGAAGTCTCCCTACTTGGAGACAGTTGGACATAGGCTGGAGATGACCCTGAAGAACATAATCTGCCATTGGCACCAATTTAAAACAAGCCTTTTTCTAAGCAGGATGTAGGACAGGAGCTCCAGAAGACCCATACATCCTCCACTGTTTTGAGATTCCAAATGACATTGAGAAAATGGCTTTATTCATTTTCTAGTAACTGTGGAGAGGCTGCAGATAACATTTGGTGATTTCCACAATAAACATTTTTAGATTTCATCCTCACTTGCCATAGTTTGGAGGTGCGTACCATGCCATATCGTGAATGGTATTGACTAATACATGTTGCTTATAAATATTTTGGTTTAAAAAAAAAACAACAACAACAAAAAACCATTTCCCAGGGCAATGGTCACAGCCCCAAGCTGCCAGACTGCAAGCAGCATTTGTACAACACTCTCAGACACAGGGTATGGATTTTGGGTGGTGCTGTGTGGATCCAGAAGTTGGACTCGATGATCCTTGTGGCTTCCTTCCAACTCGAGATTTCCTTGTGCACTCATGAGCAGTAACAAGAGAAAAATATTTTTTTTGTCTTGAGAAAAATTTTTTGTATTGATTCATTGTATGCTGCAGTAAGAATTTTTAATATTCAGATGCTATAGTGTGGCCATTTCTTGGTTTCAGCACAAACGTAATTTGTCTATCTTTATGTACAATTAAAATTCAAAACAATTAAAACTGTGTTAAATTAAATGTTCAGAATAATTAAATACAGAATTATCTAATTCACTGTAGTGATGATGATTATCTGAGTCTAAAGTTTTTAACAGAAAAGATCATAAAATGTGTTAATATGCATTGCTGCTTTTAATAATCTAGAAACTTCAGGAATAATTTCCAACCTGTCTTATTTCCAAGGCAGTGGGTTTGTTCATGGTGCTGGATCAACTGGAGAGAAACACTTTCAGTCAAATCTGGTTTAAAAAGAAAAATAGTTTCTATTTCAAAATACAGATCTGTGAGAATTCTTCACTGTTGCAATTGACCATAATTAAATATTAGATTCATTTCTGAACAAAAATATCTGATGTCCTAATGATCACAATGTAAATGCCTTTAGACTAAAAGCAACTAACTAAAGCAATTATGTTAGGAAGATGAGACCATTTATTATAAATGCAAGAGCTGTATAGCTTTACTATCATAGGAAACAGAGACATGTTCTCTTTTATTAATAGAATTAGAAATAAGGGACCATTATACAGAGAATTTTCAGTTGTTAATGGCAGATTAATTTGCAGTCTACATTAGTATTCTTAACCAGGTGCTTTTGTTTTACAGTCTTATGAACATATGACCTTTTTACAACCAAAACTGACATCTTTTTGGCCTTGAAGGCTATTAGCTGAAGATGTTGTTACCTGAAGATGACTTCAGCACTCGCAATGTTCTTTTATGATAGCATGTGGTTGAATATAAGCGCTGCATTATCTCTTCTTTTGTTTTGATTTTCTTCTAGACATTTCAGCAATCTTCTCTACAGCAGAAAAGTAAAAAGAAAAACAAAGGTAAAAAATAAATTTATTTTCATATGTTGGTAGGAAGAGAATTGCAAGCATCAGTGTTTACATTACACATACCTTAGACCAACTAGAACTTTTTTACTCCAGTCAAATGAGTAATTCAGTTGAACAGAAATATACTGAGTTCCTTGAACATCATACTGATAAACTATTAGTCTGCTATGGAAGTCTTATAGTAGCCTGTTACCTTATCATCATACTGCTACTATTTTTTTTTTTTCAATATTTACATTCTAGCCTCTTTGGGGACAGGGCTGTTTTTGCAGCTGTATCCACATAATGCCTTACTGCAGTTGTTCCTTGTTACTTAAGTTGTCTGGTAATTATATTATGGTAAACTGTTTTCCTTTGATTTAGAAGTACAAAGGCCTCGGGAAATGTTCCGCTGCAAAAGGAGGTTCAAAGACAGGTTTTTGAATACCAATTAAGTATTTACCTAGTTTTATTTCACAAAAATATTGTAGAATTAGTAGCCAGGTGTGAAATACGTCAGTTTATATGCTGTGTGCTTTAATCTGACATGAAATACTAATTTGCTGAAAATGATAAATAACCATTTTTCTTCCTTTCTTTTCTCAAAAACATCTTCTCTTTCTGTGTTGGTTTTTTTGTTTTTTTGTTTGTTTGTTTGTTTGTTTTTTGGTCATAGCTTTAGAATATGAGCTCCGTAAGGTGCTGAACATTGTTTTGGTTTTGTTTATTTTAAGCTGTGTTGTCTCACATAGACTTTAATAGAAGGCTTGTAGTAATTTAGGAACAGAAAATGAAGGTTGAAATTTTTCCTTAATGTTGTGAAGCAAATTTGTAGTGCTTTATAGCTAACTTGTTGACATAAGGGACGAGTCAAATGCTTTCACAACAATTTGTCATTTTCAGCTCCTATTCCTGGTAAAAGCAAAAGAAGGATCTCCTGTAAAGATCTTGGCCGAGGAGACTGCGAAGGCTGGCTTTGGAAAAAGAAAGATGCTAAGAGTTATTTCTCCCAGAAATGGAAAAAATATTGGTTTGTCCTGAAAGACACATCTCTCTACTGGTATATCAATGAAGAGGTAAGCATGTATGCTTATTGTTTCATCATATAACCTGTGTAGTGTTAATGCCATGGTTTTGTGGAAAGCCAGTGGCTTATCTGTGCAGCTTTATAGACCCAAATAACTATGCCCTATATTAATTACCTGCCTAAATTACCAAAGAAAGAATTAATATTCAGATTTACCCTTTACTACAAGAATTAAAAACACACTTTCCAGAGTCCGGCTCTCACCATTTTAGCATGAATCTGTCATCAAGCCATTGAAAGGGAAAAGTAGCTTATTTAATGTTGTCATTCAATTTTAGTCATGAGAATGTAAACTTTAATTATATGCTGCCTAGCATTCTCTGTTTATATGTAATGGTGAGATTACCAGAAGCTCTGGCAATCACAGAAGATGCTTTTGTTTTCTTCAGTTGTTTTCTCGTGCCGTTCCTTCTCTAGCTTTTGTTCTGATTTCAGGGCTCATATATACTGAACTTAAAGAGCATCAGAGCAGCTCAACTAAATTGTTTACAGCTTTAATTGTGTGACATGTTTTGCATTCATACAGGATTATTTATATCAGTTTAAGCAGAATAGCTTTTTGCCAGTCAGGTAGAAGACCTTAATTTTAAACTCTACTAGTATCCTGAGATAAAACCATTACCAACATGTGAGTGTACTCAGGCTTGGACTACCTTACTTGTTTTAATCACTGCAAGCATTTATGCACAATTTTTTTAAAATGTAACTTCTCCCTGAGTAGATGGAGTAGATAGAAAGGAAGTTCTCTGAACAGAGCCCATTGTCCCACACATTTACTTCATTTTTGCCTTCATCCCATCTTTATGTCAGTAACCCTAACTCTCTCCTTCGCATCTTCTCTCCCGAGGTTACCCTACAAGGTCATCATCAGGGTAGAAATTCATAAGTACTAATGCAATGACTAGCCACCAGCTAGACAAGGACCCTGGAGAACTAATGAGCCTTGTGTCCCTTTGGAGAAGGCAGTGGTCTGAGGTCCCGTGCCTCCTTCCTGCCTTGAGTTTCCTTGACTTTCTGGGGCTGTTATTTTTGAGACCTCAGCTTCCTCATCAAAAGATTCAAAAGGTGGGAGGGTACAGGGAGGCCTTAGATGGACAGATAACTTAACCATGCTCTTGCCAATTGTTCTTTTTCTTTGGAAACTATGCAAAAAAGAAAATAATAACAAGTTCATTATAAACAACTTCATTTTCATTTTAAAAAAAGTTCTAATGAAGAACATCTGACAACTTTGTACCTCCCACAGAATGACTCCACTGCAGTTTCATATGCTGATCTTTGTCATTTATTTATTTATTAAAAAGAAAATCATATAGACTGCACATGTAGCTGTGGGGATTTTGAAAGAAAAAGATGTAATTCTTTGGAATTCCTTAAAATATAGTTGTGTCTTCTGCAGCTTCACTCTCATGATGCTGTGTTGATTTCTCAGGCCAAGTCATCAACGGTCAAAGAAGAGAATCTGTGGTATTGATGTGTCAGTGTCTTGAAATAATTCTTTCAAATTGTGCAGTCAATGCAGATTGAATATCTGATAAAATAACCTATGTGCAGGTCTTTAGAAGACAGAGGAAGAAGGTTAGATGTCTTCTCTGTGTGTTGGAGAGAGATAACAAGTAGCTCAAGTGATATTGCATATCCTAGTTGTGATATAGTATAAGGATGACAAATAACATTTATTTAAATAGTGGGTTTTTTTTCACTTTTTTCTTCTGTTCCTTACAGTAGGCTGCATTTCTACTTACTAATTAGTTCATCCTCCCCTGAAATTATTTAATTACAGTAACTAATTGCCTGCATACATTTGGTCATTTTGTATATTTTCAGATGCACATTCAACTGTGAAATTGTTTGAGAAAACTGGATATTTAAAATGGTATTTTACACCAAGGGATCTTACTACTTTGGCAAAAGTCCCAGTGACTTCTACAGGAGGTTTGCCAGAGCAGAGCATACATTGGTACTGCTTATATAAGAAGCAGGCAAATGCAAATATCTTTGTTTTCGACGTGGATTTTTTTTTTCTAACACCTTTACAACAGTACTATGTAGAACTATCTTTACAGGATGAAAAAGCAGAAGGATTTATCAGTCTACCTGAATTTAAAATTGACAGAGCAAGTGAATGCCGAAAGAAATAGTAAGTATGTTCAAAAATAATGCAATGATACAATAGGAGCAGTACAGTACCATAGAAAAAGTGAAACAAAGTTGAACATTCTTTATAAAACGGTGGCATAATTGACTTCATTACAATGATCATTTAGTTATATCACAGAATGAGTTCATACAAAACTGCCAAATTCAGTGTGGTTTCTGCGTCATATTTCTTAAAGAAGAATGGAGATTTTTGTGGGGTTTTTTTGTTGTTGTTGTTTTTTGGTTGTTTTTTTTTTTTTTCTGTGTGAATTTTAGTATTGGTGGTGGTGGTGGTGGTATTTTTTAAGTTTATTTTGAATTAAGAGTAACAAGGCTGCATACTTGCTTCTGTCTCATTATTATTATTTTCTTAGTTTTCTCCTCTCCTTTTCAGAAGGGAGGCTTATTTTTGGTTGTTATTTTCGTTGTTTGAAACCTGGTCAAAAATCCATCTTTAATGCAACTGCAAATTAGTTAGCATGATCTCAAACTCTACTAGCTTATTATATTGCTCCTGAGACAGAGTAAAACAAGGGAATGGCAGAATGGCTTGATCTAGAGTATGACTTTTAAAGTAACTTTCCTTCTCACCTATCTTTGTTTGCTGGTATCCGCATTTGCACCATTGCCAGAACCCCTTTTTCATTTAGATGCAAGTTCCTGTATATTTAGTGATATGAGGAGTGCGTACTCTCACAGAAGTATTCTTAGAGTCTTTACTGTTGTAAACTTTTTAGCTTCCTTCTAATGCTTTTTACCATTGTTTGACTGAAGTTTATAAAGACTGTGTAATTAATGAAAATTGTACAGAAAAGCCATTTCAAAAGCAAAACAATGTATCTTATGTTACATACAACTAAGAAGAAGACACTGATTTTGTACCAGTTAGCCTACATAGCTCTTCAGGGTGAACTCTACTCTTCATTATGATCTCATAGAACAGAATATAAAAATAGCATTAAAACATTAACTTGAGCTTACTGTGTCCTTTGTCCTTGGACTACAGTGCTAAAGTGCTTCATTTGTATGTTTTGTTGGGGCAGCAACATGAAGTCAGCCTATTTCTCAGAAATGCATCCTGCTTAAATTGCTTTTTACTTGATTTGGTATCTGATGGATAGCAGAACATAAAATGTGGCTGTTAAATTTCCTTGCTTGGATGACAGATAAAGTAAAAAGAATATGTAAGAATCCAGATGGCAGATGCTGTAACAGTTTTAAGTCAGGTTTTGGGTATCAGTAACTTGATTATGTCTTTTTAAATCGAGCAGACGTCACTGTACATCTGCTTTCACTTGCATAACATTGTGTCGTGCTCTAATATTTAGGACTGCTTCTTGTCTCATTTTTACAGGCTACTTTCAGTAGCAGTATCTTTCCTGGATTTCAACTTCATATACCTGGTTTCTGAAAAACATATATATGTATATATATATATCTTTGTATATGTAACTACGTGTGTGTGTGTACGCGCACATACAAACACGCTACAGTCTGCAAGCATGATACACAGGAAGAGCACCATTAACATTTTTCTAAAGAGCAAAAGATTAGAGAGAGAATTGTTAATTTTTTTACATGCATATATATATATATATATAAAATCCACTGTCTCTCAGAAAAATGCCACTGATGTTTTTCATATATCATACTTAGAGTTTTCCTTATTTTCTTGAGGAGTATTATGCATTTTTTTCTTATTTTGGGAAAAACCTTCAGGCTATTCTCAAAAATGATTCTTCTGTGTTGTCAATTATTAATTACTGTCAGATGCATTTTCTAAATCTTTAAGAGCTTCGCCATAAATCTTTATGCAACATAGTTACAAAATTCTTTCAAGTAATTCTCACAGCCTACTCACGTTGATTACTTTGGTGGAAAGAAAAGATGAGATGTAATTTCCCATTGCTTAGAATGACCTCAAGAACACATTGTTGATTTATAAGGGCTTTTCAAAAGTAAATCACATCATATTATTCTGTTTGAAATTCAGTCATCAGAGCTAAAGGTAACATCAAGGTCATTGGGATGTCATAAATTACCAGGATTGCGAGATGTTCTGTTGTATTGAATAAATTCTTCGGTCAATTTTCAGTCGAGGTAAAAATTGACATCTTCAGTATATATCAGTAAAATTGCAAAATGCATAAAACTATCACAGTAAGTGTACAGTCTCTATTTATACACGTACAAAAGTAGGTGTAGTTGAAGAACATTTCAGTCACTGAAATCTGCCACTATCCTAAATGTTAATATCATAAAGTTATAGAATATCCTGAATTGAGAGGGACACAAAGGACTCAAGGATGTTGTATTTTTGTGTCATGTCTGGGGGCTTCCGACAGCTCAGGAAATCTGGACTCATCTCATTGCTCGGTGACCACACTACTTTGCATTAAAAAAAAAGAAAAGTTGTACCATTACATTTTTATAATTATGTTTTTCCTCTACAGCGCATTCAAAGCCTGCCATCCTAAGATCAAAAGTTTTTATTTTGCTGCTGAACATCTAGATGATATGAACAGGTAAGGAAGTTAAGCAAAATTCAAGGAACCATTCCTTACGCAAGGCATTTCCTTGAAGCTAGTGATTACAAATTAGAATGTGATAAATTGTTTAGCTAAGAAGGTTGTAGTTAAAAAAAAAAAAAAAAAGAGTTCAGAGTGGCATTATTTCTGAGTGTCTGCATATGCTAAACATTCAATTCATGCAAGAAGTATCTTTTTTGAAAGAAACATTTGGAGATTTTTGGAAACGAGGTTTTGTCTTTCTAAAAAGAAGCAAAAAAAACTTCGAAATTTTGAAAATAACTCAGAAGCACAATTTAAGAATTCTGGGTTTCTGTAAAGCTGTTCTTAGCTGTGTTACACCTGCAAAGGTGGAATATCTCCAACTTGGCACCCCAGCCTATCTCCACAGACGCATGATGCTTGATTTGAGGCTGCTTCTATTCTCTTTTGAGGCATTTGAGGGGTTGGAAGAAGTTGGAGAAGCACTCACTGATTTTTTTTCTTCTGCCATTCATGAAATAGGATCTAGAGATAGCAAAGACTTAATTGTGCAGACTGTCACTACCAACATGAATGTAACTTTCACTTTGAGGTGAAATTTCAGTTTTATTGAAATTAGCAGGGAAAATCTCATCAGCTTTAAACAAAAAGAAATTGAAAAAGAAAGCATTTAAGTCTTGCTTCTTTGTGTGTTGAGCTTACCTCTAAGTATTTGAGGTCTATTTTTCAGAATGATTGAGACTTCAGCACAAAATAAACACAATTTCTATTACTTCATTTAAATGGCAAATTAAAAACATAGATCCCATGTCTATTCAAATCTATCTGAGAATTCATTTCATTTATTTTCACAACATACACTGAAGTTAACTCATAGGATGTAGTTTTCATCATATGATAGGGCACAAAAAAAGATCTATGATTGCAGCCTGATAATTGTTCTGTTTTGGATAATGTTTGTAGACATCCCAGCTGAGGTGCTTTTGAAACAGGAGGAAAATGAGATAAATCCCAATCCATAAAACACATTAGTAAGATCACAGTTTAATCTGTCCTGCATGTACTAGATTCAGCTACCTGGCCAGGGAGCTTCATTGTACTGCCAGTTCTTTACTGATAATATATGACTGAAAAAGGATGCCAGTACTCTGCCGTGCTTGCTTTTATTTAGAAATAGCCGTCTGTTAATGTTTCCAAAAGTTCATGCACGACTAAAGCTCACTTCAAAAGTCTCTCCTCAGTTAGAAAACTTAAAACCTTTTTGTTTGTTTGTAAAATTTTAGACTTGCCTCTACTAGATAAATCTGTCAGGCCAGTCACTCAAAGTGCAGTTTGCTGCACAGCAAACAGAATAATGACGTGGCCTATTCAGCATATTCTGAACTACAGCAGCAGATAAATCACTTCTGCCAGTAGGTCCTCAGTGTGTGACAAGGTGGCTTGCTTCTGAAAATTAGAATGTGGCTCTTCAGTAATCAGAAAGCAGCAGGAAATGTGCATCAGTACATTAAAAACATACTGCACAGAGTATAACATAAGAGCTAGTAAGTTTTCATCTTCCTAGCATGGGCTGTCTTTTATTGTTTTTTATCAGTTGTGCTTACTATTTTATTTAGAATGAGTGAGACTAAATTTTGTTCCATGTTATACACGTGTAAATTTCAAGTAACTCCATCAAGCTCTATGGAATTACTTGAAATTTTTATGTCTGAATTGGCATTGCCGTTTCAACATATGTTTTTTCATCTTCTTTGATTGATAATGTAAGAAAAAGAAGTTCACTTTCATAAACTAAGTACGCAAATTAACTGAACTGAACTGAAAAAATGCGTTACTAAAAAATAGTCTTTCAAATGCAGAGATAATGAAAGACATTGCTTCCTATCTAAAAGCATGTTCTGACCTAGCCAGAGTCAAATACAGAATCAGTATATTAAAAGGTAAATAAGACTATTTTAAGCAATTTCTATTCTTTTTTAGGTTTCCAAGATGTTTTAATAATATATCATGCAATCATTTTAGTTCTGTTATATTGGAAAGCAGAATAGAAGAAAACTGCTAAAACAGACTAACAGAAAGTTACAGATCATTCAGTTCCTTCTACCTCTGAATAAAATAATTTAATTTTAAAAAAAAAAGTATATATAGAACATGAAAGGATTTTGTCACTATTCAACATTTCTTACTACTTTTATGCCATATTGCTATGCTTGTAAGAAACCTGGGGAGCTATGATCACTGAACTTTATTGTTGTGAAGTCCCTTGCCTTTGCATGGCTACAGCAGCAAAATTGTTCTTTCTACCCACATAACACATTGAGTTTGGGTGAGAGAAGGACAGAATACCCTTTACTGACACAAAGCACTGTTTTGCTAATGTAAGTATATATTCACTGAAACACCTTCCTTGGAAATTTATTTTTATTCCAAGAAAGTGATCTACTATAGAAAGCAGTCCACGTATTTCTTCTTAATGACACCATACATAAATTTGTTTTGATTTTCTCTGGTAACTGTGGCTGACTCTTTAAGTTGTCAGCTAGGCAGTTACAGTCAGTAACTTCATGTGGAATGGTTGTCTGAGAACTTCCTTGAACCTATGGTAACTGAACTGTATTGTTTCTCTTTTTGTTGGAGTCCAGAGTATTGAAATTGGTAAGAAGTTTCTTTCTCAATGTAACTAGATGATCAAGATCAAAGAGGACACAAGTCAGTTTGTAGTGTTAGCACATGAGAATGTCTCCAGGTGTATGAAGATGACCTCTAAATTTTTGCAAGTATCACCTACAGATCTCTTCGTTCTAGTTGAAATGCAGTTGATTGCTTATATACATTGTATGGTGCCCATACTCCCATATAGCTAGTTCATCCTTATCCTTGAGCTTTATGATTAAGGAGAATTTGACACCCTAAACTAAATTTGACTACAAGCATTGCATGTATTTGGAGCTTGAGATAAGAAATTGTTTCCTACTATTCTGTGAGAATGCCAATACAGTGCATTCTTTCTTACAAAAGTTTCAGATCTATAGAAATATTTTTATCTACTTCTAGTGTGAGTCATGAAATTGTTTTAATTAAATACTGAGGGGAAATGTACATGTCCTATTCTTAAAAAAGATTTAAAAACAGAAAAGGAAGAAAGCAAATTTAGATGATTGCTGCAAGTACCAATGTTACTTACTGTAACTATTTTAACTATTATTGTCACAGCTAACAATAACAGACTTCTCACAAAAACGCTAAAGCTGCACTTGCAGTAAGGAGGGAATATTTTCTTGGCTTCTTGCCCTTGCGAAAGCTACAGTGGTTATTAAGACACAGCACAATGTAGGGAAAGGAGTTTAAAATCTTCCCTTGACCAAGTTTTGCAGATGACTTTCAAGTGGGTTTTTATTGTATGTTTTAATATTTATATTGAGTTCTTATATAACTGTACACTTTTGTCCCTTATGTTGTTTAAAGCAGGTATTTTTTACTCTTCTTTTGTTCTTCCAGAGATCTTTACAAATCCCTGTGATACAAGCCCAGTGTGATAGATTTCTCACATGACCCTAATTTGGAGTAAACTCTAGCCACATTAAATCAAAATAATGATTTTCTAACTGAACACGTTCTTCTAACTATATCCAATGAATCTTTAGTGGACATATATTAGAAAATCTGCAGAAGTCAACGCCATTCTCTTAATCTCTGAACTAGCAAACCACTCAAAAGCCATTGTTATTAACTCTTTACAACCGTATCACACCTTGTCACTTGGCCACAGGCATTGTAGGTGACACAAATCATGAACAACAGAAAATCATTAAATGTGAAGTCAGTCAGCTGTCTCTCTTTTAGACTGGTATACAGCTCCTGGGTTATCATTAGATTATATTTATCAGAAATTTATCCAGAAATTTTCTGGAGTTATCCGCTATAGCTACAACCAATATCAATTGACTGTCAATTAACTCTTTGTTAATGTAGCTGATTGCCTCACTAACTGTCATGTACAAAATACTATCTTATGTTTAGGATGAAATGAAATTTCTCAACTGGATAACTCCCGTACTTATCTTACCTATTATGTGGTCAGCAGATCTATTCCAAGAGATTCAGTAGGTGGTTGTTTCATGTTGACTGCCATGCGTGGTGATAAGCTCTGAGCTTTGTTCTCCAAAGAAAGCCTTCTTGAATCAGGAGAGTTAACCTAAGGGATTGTTTTGGAAAGGGATCACTTTTTCTGCCACGAAAATGTGCAATAATCATCTGATGCACAATTTGTTGACTCTCTGCCTCCATGTGCCTCTGACTTTTTATAAATGCTTGGCACTTCCTAACAAGTACGACTGAAATTTTGTCTCATCTTCAGCTTCTCTATCATTCTGGCAGAAATGTTGATTATAAGCTAATATGAAGTATGCTGTAATCACTTCAGAAGCAGATCTCTAGCATCCTTACCAATACATAATGACTTCTGGACTATTAGCATAATTTACAGATAATATATCACTGCTCACTGGTCACTATTTTGGGAGGGGCAGTTGGAGAAATTTATTTCAAGGAGATATTTATTTCAAGGTATTTTATGATCTTATGCCTACTTTCCCTGCACAAAAGTTTCTCAAAGGTAGGCATGCAGGAGGGGTTAAAAAGGTCTCAGAAAGGCCTCTCTTGCTGAGAAAATAATATATGCTGGTTCCATGTGTGCACTGTGCAAATAAAACCCCTCAGGCACAGTTTTCTGAAACACATTTCTGAAGAAAATACAAAACTGACTTCACTTATCTCTCTACCAACACTAGCAGTAAAATTGCAAGCTGCTCACTAGCTTGGCAAACAAAGTCTGTCATCCTGACTGTGGGATGGCTGGAATAAGCAATTCCAGGTTTAATATGGAATGGACAACCGTAGAAGGTTGTCATGTGCTTTTAAAGCTTCATCGATGGAGAAACTGATTTAGTGTAAGTGGTCGGATAATGAATACACTGAGAGCCACACGGGGGAAGAGGGGAGGTTGAAGGGAAGCATTGGTAAGGGCAGCTGAATGTACGCCTCACAATGACTGCTCTGCTAGAAGAGAACTGCAGTAGTTCATTATTAATTCGTGCAGCTCATGGAAGCCTTTTTTCAAGTCTGAATTGAGGAGAAAACCTTAGATGAGAATTGCATTGAAGCAACTGCCTTTTCTCTCTCTGCTTCTCTGACACAAGCGCAAAAGTGAATTCTGGTATGCCTCCTTCTCTTTATGGCACTATAGGTAAGCCCCAAAACACATAATGGCATAATTAAGCTTCACTGTCTGTTTAGGATGGAGCCTGTTCTTTTGACAGCAGGTTTCTGCTCTGTTCCTCTGCTACATTGCCTATTCAAGCCTTAAAGTATTGCTTAAATTTCTGAAAAGTGGTGTTTATTCTTAAGAAATCAGAACAGCAGGAGTAGTGATGTGATGGTGTATCTGTGAGCAGCAGACTTAATAGCTCTGTGGTTATCTCCAAATCCTGTGTTTTACAGATGTTTGACATCATACATGGTTTTCTATTTGAAGCAAGATCTATGCTGTAAAAACAGTTTTTTGAACAGCATAATTATAGATCTTTGGAGGCTACCTGAGTAAAAATATCAAAGAAAACAGCTGTTTAATATGAAACATTATTCTGAATCTCCTTCAGATGCTCATGCTTTTGTTTGTTGTAGAGGTGCACCATAATTTAACATTCTGGATCAGTATCACTGCTCTTTTAATATTATTTCAGATGGCTAAACAGAATTAACATGCTTGCTGCTGGCTATGCAGAAAGGGAGAGAATCAAGCAAGAGCAAGGTAATGTGTTATTATTTTGGTTTCTAATGTCAGCTCTTATAACAAATTCATGTGCTCTTTTTTCCCTGCTGTGTATCAGGCCTCATTCTCATCAGCTGAGAGCAATTCTCAAATGAGTTTCACTGTTGTTGCAGTAGCAAATTCTTTCTCTTGGGGTTTTTGATTAGCTCCTTCAGATTCTGATCCATGTACCCTTGGATTATTTCTTTGAATGCTGCAAAAGTAGATAAAAGCAGTAAATTTACTGCCAGTAATCTCAGGTATGTGGTGCCCAGGTATGTGTTCCCCCATCAGAACAAACTTAAGAATCTGTAGACTAAAAAAAAAAAAAAACTGAAAACATTGTCATTTGGTATTTGAATTTACAGGAGTAGGAATGCATGAAATTGGTCTCTAGAACAAAAACATTCCTCTGAAATCTGCTGACAAAATTGAATTTCCCTGAAAGACTTAATTTTAAGGCCATTAAGTGTAGTGGTGATTACTACTGGTTTTGCTATATTGAGGTGTGTGGTAGAGCCCTGTTGCCTTTTCAGTGAACTCTTCGTTTGGAGTTGTAGGCTTACATCATTTTTTATTTTTTACGTCTAGTATTTCATAGCTTTATGAAAGTAGCATATTTAAAACGAGTCACTTTGTTTTAGTTTGTTGCAGCAGAAATCATGTTGGCCAGCAGGATCCATTGTGTTGGGCAGGTTGTTTTGTCAAATTGCCAGTGGCAAAGATTCACAGAAGCATTTATATCCAACAGACTGGTCTGGAAAGCATTTGGCATCTCAGTTCTTACTCTTTTTTACAGGTGTATCTAGCTGCAGGCACCAGACAATGACAGTGTTCAGAATGAGCAAGAACTCATCTGAGTGCCTGTCTACCTCCTGCCTCCAAAGTCAGAATACCACATTCTAATTCTGTGGCTTCTCAGCCTTCATCAGTGAAGCTCTAACTTTTGTTCTGAAAAGCATGTAGCTAGCGCTGCAGCAGTCTTTTCTTTACAAAAACTCCATTTCTAGCCATTTTTCAGAGAGAATTTGTATTCAGAAGATGTTCGCTAGGCTTCAAAATTAGCCATGTGATGTTCCCCTTGCCCCCCAAAATCCTGGTTCTGTACCAGCCTATGTAACAGCAGCCTTAGCCATATCCTTCTGGCATTAGCCATGTCTCCCTCCTGGGAGACACCTCGCAAAAGACTTCATTGCCTATTGAGAAACAACGAGGACTTTACTAGGCAGGTGCAAACATCAAAGGAGTAAGATATTCAGTAGTGGCAGAAGATGAAGAGATGTTAGGAAATGGCCTTAATTCATATTGTGATTGTCTTACTACAGAGCACCCTAGAGGTGCTGTTGAAGATCAGTGGCTTACAGCATTGAGACGTGTTTTGATGGTAGCAGTGTGGGAGGGAAGGTTTGTGGGTGTTCAGCCTTTCCCTCAGATAACTAGGCTGTACCTGCTGTTGCCTTGTTTCTAATTATACCTTCCAGCAAATGCAGCTGCTTACTGTGGGAGTGCTGCCCATCTCCTGGTGTGGTCTGTTATTGTCTGTGCACACCACATCACTCATCATACCAGGTCCTCTGCATTCACACAGCCCAGGAGACATGCTGCGCTCACTGCCACTCCAGTCATTTTCTCAGTGCCTCACCAAACCAAAACCTTCTTGGGAATCTGTATTTCCCATGTCATACAGCAATAACCATTTTGGAGGAAACTATACCATCCATCACTGCTTGAAGAGGCCACAAACAAACAAACTGAATCTTGGAGTTTTCAGGGGAATCCTCCATGTCAACATCCAAAGCCAAACTGAAGCTTCTATAGAAAGGAAGTTGGCAGTAGAATTACAATAACATGTGGGATGATAAAGGAAAAAGTGTAAGAATAGTTATACTAACACTGCCCAAGTGCACACTGCAGAAATAGTGCGCTTTTGTAAATCCAGATGGATGTGGAGAAATTTTTTTCCTACCAAGCAGTTGCTGAATAATTGCAGATGATCCCTTTCTTAGACATGAGATCACGTGTATTCAGGCCTCATGTTGCCTATTATTAAAATGGCTCCCTGTTGAAGATCATCAGCGAGACTCCACTTATTGCTGAAATTATATCCCCAGCACTGAGGGAGCTCTTTATTTCCACTCTAATGCCATTTACTCAAATTGATTCATTGTATGGAGGTAGGGAATGTTATATCCGCTTTATGCTCCGTATTTGTGTTTATGAAGGGAATCAGCATCACATTCCCCTTTTGCTGCAGCACAGAGCTTTTATGCCTCTGCTGCTTATCCTTGGCTCCCAGAGCAAGGGCTGTTAAACAGCTGAGCTGTGCCCCTAATTAGCAGAGGCATCGAGTTAACAATGTAAAGCCTCTCTATCACTTCAAGTGTTTTTGAAATTAAAGAAACTGTGAAGCTGGATTTTTCTATATTCAGTGACTGTAGCAATTGTCATCTACATATTTAATTTCACAAAAGGTCTTTTGTCAGTTCAGCCCCTTGCAGGAAAGCTTTAGAATGCTTCTGAAACAATTCAACAGTAGTTGTCAAACTTGTTTCAATTAAGAGTTGAACAGTTCTGAATCTAAAGTGTATAAATATATTTCAAGTGCTTTAGAGATGCACGAATCACTAAACTGTGGGTGTATTGCTGGAGAAAATGTCACATTCTGTGCAGAACAGTCTTATAAAAATACCATCAGCTTTCCATATTAAATACAATGAATGCTAGCAATAAGGCAAGGGACTTTCTTGGATGGAGAAGTTACATGCTTTCCAATCATAGAAAGTTAGAGAAACAAAAGGACTCACTTATCTAAATAGAAAAGCTTTAACTGGAAAATGGCAGGTCAATTTTATCTTACTTGTATCACATACAGTCTCTTGTTCATTCAGAAAGCTTTCAAGATATGGCTAAAGCTTTGAACATGTCTGTTGCTAAATTGGACAAAATCTGCAGAGAGAAATATGGCAACCATTCGATGCCATTACACACATTTTAGATAGACTGTAATGTCTCACTTGCCAAAAAGAGAACATTTTTTTAAATCTGATGGAAGCTATTTTCATTCATTTCACCTGAAAGTTGGCCCCTATAATTGCAGATTTTTTTTGTAGGCAAATACAGTAAGTTGCCAACACAATTTCCTAGTTGAGGTAAGGTGCCCAAAAGCACAATCATACAGTATTTTATGGTTTTGACAGGAAGAACTTTTTTGTATTTTTAGCCAAAATTGGAAACTGCACTGAGAATGCTAGATTTTACTTCCAGAATAAATAGACGAGCTCCAAGGCTGCAGAAATCACAGTGAGTGAGATAGCTCTGACAGGCCTCTCACAAGAAGTAGCTCCACTAGGCTTTGCTATAATGGGAACAAACATATTTACGTGCCAGTATTTTGAGGTTTTCTGAGTTGCTGGAAACAAGGAAAAAGAAAATGTCTTAACCATTTGTTCTGATGTTGTCTTCTTCCCAACCAGTGATGAATTATTTTGAGATGTCTGCAGACAGGGACGTTTGAAATTAGTTTTTTTTTTCTTTATTTCATTGCCATGATAAAAATTATTTATACTATTTATTTCTTACACTACTTGAAGAGAACCTCTCAGCTATAAACTTGCATGAGGCAATTCAAGAAAGCCAGAGTCACAAAAGAGAAGTTATTACTTCTAAAGAATAAATAGATGGATATGGCTGCACACTCCTCAAGTACCATACCCTGAAAAGATAAAGAATTTTAGAGACAACTATTTCACAATGGTTTCATCTTAAGATAATTTTTTTTTAACTTTAAATCTTGAATAAGATTAGGTACAGTAGATTTTTAATCATGATCATGTTGGTACAAAGATCATTAAAGCCAAAATTATATGTTGTGCTAACTTGGAAAAATTCAACCCATTCCTTTGGTTAGATAGTTCAGATAGTAAACCTTTTTCTCCTATTAAATATAAAATAGTAAGTTACACGGTTCCTTGAACATGTAAAGTGGAAACTGCCTGTGAATAGCATGAACTAAACTTGTCCTGTGGTATAGTGGCTTAACCAAATACTGGAGGGTAATGCAGTCAGAAGCAAAGTGGCAACACAAACATTTGCATCAGTCTTACAACGTATAGAAACATAAAGACCATCCGTCTGGATCTGAGTCAGCAGTTAGTTTTCTTTTTTATGGAACATTAAGATCTGTTGTCTATTTAATTGCATCCTCTTCTGCTTCAAAAGTAATTGCCACAGAATAAATAGAATTATCATGTTGTACGTTCTTACATGTGTTTTCCTTCTTGAGTAAGTTACCAAAAATATCATAGAATCATAGAATCATTTGAGTTGGAAGAGACTGTTAAAAGTCATTTACTCCAGTTCCCAATATGAAACAGACTTGGCTAAGACTTGATATCAAAAAAAAAGGAAGCCTCATATCCCATTAAATTTAATCCAAAATTGATGTGTCCTTTGTACTTTCTTTCACCCATCTTTTACAGTTCTGTGCTTAAATATAATTGTCACATTCTTCCTTAACAAACCACCTTTACCTTGCTTGGGTAATAGGATAGCAGCTATTTTATAATGAAGGTGTTATATGAAGTTTTTCTGCCTTATCAGAAATTTAATTGAAAGCCTTGGGTAACTGGTAGTGTAGAAAATGATGATAAAAATAACACTGATTATTCATCCAAGCACTAACCGCTACTTGCTTGATTTGCTAGTTGGTATTGATTAAATTTGTTAATGTTATTTGCAGCCAATAAGACTTCTGAAAATTACTTTCATCTTTTCCATTCAAAAAATACTTTCTGTAATTTCCAGCCAATATATGTACACTCATAATTATTTTGATGATACAGCAAATATTTGAAAATCTTATTGCACCATGTGTATTCTGTATGCACGTTGTATTTATAAGGTGTGTACAAGAGTTATATCAGTGGGACATTCGCAGGTTGTTGGTTAATTTCTCTGTGGTGGGAAATGAGACAAAATACACCCAATGTTTTAAATTTTTCCTCCTTATGTTAAAACATTTCCAAATTACAGCAGCTAGCATATAGAGAGTCAACGTTCAGTGATATTTAACTCTCAGTAATATCTATGAAGGAATTTCTAGTTGTTTTTATGAAAACAAGTTTTCTGATATAGAAACTTATCAAAAAATCTTGGTAGCTTTTGACCTGATGTGTATGTAACTTGTAGATTACTGGAGTGAGAGTGATAAGGAGGAGGCTGACACTCCATCGACACCCAAACAAGACAGCCCACCACCCCCGTATGATACATACCCACGGCCTCCTTCGGTAAGTCACCTGCAACTGCCTAATCTGGAATGGCTACACAAAGTCACTTTCACCAACTCTAATGATCAGAACCACGTGCTTGCAAACACTGCACTCCAGTATATTTTTTAAGCCAGTACTGGGCATAAACTATTTCTTAAGTACAGTGCATTGCTAGCTTCAAGAACCATCCTTGCCATTTGCACTGGTGTGTAGAGAACACATGTATAATCCTACTCATTGTACAAACATGAATTAAGTTACAGAAATCTTCCTCTTCTTAATTTGTGATAGACCCCTACTCATCCATGTAATTGCTCACATCCCAGTTACCGTCTTCTTTGACAAAATGTAATACCCTAGTAACAGATTCTTTTCTAAGGTACAACAGTTGTGCTGTGAAGCATTACAGTAACAAACTACACTTCCAGAGAAATGCCAACATAAAAATGTTATTTTGTATGGCCAACAGCGGTTTTGTTGCTTGTGAAAAAGTAGGTTTATCTACAAAAGAGAGCAAAAGGAGGTCTAGTCGTTATTTCCTTTTTTAAGCAGTTGTTGTTTAAGCCCTAATGAGTGATCTTCTAATTTATTCTTCATTGGAAATTTTAATTTTCATGTCCATATATTCAGACATTACTAAAGCACTTTCAGTATAATTTTAAAAAATACAAAAATGTCGATTGAAAACTTGGTTGAGTTTGTGGAAAGTGTTTGTGATATTTAACTTGCATGCAAGACGTATTCCAAAGCCACAGAGTTTTGAAATGTACTGAAGCTCTGCAAACATGTTTCCAAAGTAATTTTTAGCAAGATAGGATGATAGCAGGCATTTGGATTGCAATTTTAAGATAGTATTGATGGGCCAGGTGTATCATAATCATTTGAGTTGGAAAAGATCTTTAAAGGGCATCAATTCCAACTCCCCTGCAATGAATAGGGACACCTACAGCTAAATCAGGTGCTCAGAGCCCCATCCAGCCTGACCTTGAATGTCCCCAGGGACGGGGCATCCAACCTGCTGCAGTGCTTTACTATCCTTACAGTAAAAAACCTTTTTCATATTATGCAAACTAAATCTCCCCTCTTTTAGTTCAAAACCATTTCCCCCTCCTATCACAAAACATCCTGCTAAAGCCTCCATCCCCTTCTTTTTTATAAGCCCCCCTTTTAGATACTGAAAGGTCTCCTTGGAGCCTTCTCCACACTGAACAGGCCCAGATCTCTCAACCCGTCCTTGTAGGGGAGATATTCCATCTCTCCTGCGTCTTTCACAAAGCCCTATTTGACAAAGTTTTCTGAAAAAATAATTGAGTGGGCCTCTTCTATGTCCCTATTCTACAGGGACATTCTGTAGGAGTGCATATCAGTGTGTGTGCAGGGTCATTACCAAAACGGGGGCCATCAGTAACAACAGAATCACAGAGTCACCAAGGTTGGAAAAGACCTTTAAGATCATCCAGTCCAACCACCCACCTATCACCAATAGTACTCACTAAACCATGTCCCTTAATACAGTGTCCAACTGTTCCTTGAACAGCTCCAGGGTTGGTGACTCCGCAATCTCCCTGGGCAGCCCATTCCAGTGCCTGACCACTCTTTCAAAAAAGCAGTATGTGATTGCTGTTAGGGGTAGGCCGCAGTCTCCACTGATCTGAAGCTTGCTCTGTTGCAGATGAGTTGCACCAGTCCCTACGTGGAGCCAAAGCACAGCCGCCTCTCCTCCACAGAGACCTCCCAGTCTCAGTCATCACACGAGGAGTTCCGCCCAGAGGCGGCGGGGAGTGTCACCGACTCGCCGGTGCGCAAGACAGCGAGCCAGCGGCGCTCCTGGCAGGACCTCATCGAGACGCCACTGACCAGCTCAGGACTTCACTACTTGCAGACGCTGCCGCTGGAGGACTCGGTGTTCTCTGAGACGGCCGTGGTGTCCCCTGAGCACCGGCGGCAGTCCACCTTGCCCACCCAGAAGTGCCACCTGCAAGACCACTATGGCCCCTTCCCACTCGTGGAAGGGGAGCGGATGCAAGTGCTGAACGGGAATGGAGGCAAGCCCCGGAGCTTCACGCTGCCACGAGACAGTGGCTTCAACCACTGCTGCCAGAGCCTTTCGGTGGGAGCCACTGATCACCACGAGGAAGTGCAGCAAAAGGAGGTGGAAGAGGAAGAGGAGGAGGAGGAGGAGGAAGTCAAAGCAGCAGAAGAAAACCAGGAAGATAAAAGTAAGTATGGGATATTTCTGTGGCTTTTCGGCAGCCCTGTTTGTGTTATGTAGTGGTTGTTTTTCCCTTTAACTATTAAAAAAGTCTTCCACCATCTCCCATATTTTACCAGGTTATCTTTGTTTTATATCTCGTTAATCAACCATATGTATGAGGCTTAACAGTCTTGACAGAGTGCTGCATGATCTGTCATGAGCCCCAGATGCTTCCCCATTGGCTGGTCAGCAGCTGTACCCTAATAGTGTTTCTCAGTCATAAATGGATGTTGCTTCCTTGCTTTCTTTCCCTTGCACAGTATTCTCCCCCACTGACACAAGTATGTGTCAGGCAGGACATGCTTAGTCCAGTTTTCCAGTCAGCCTCTCTCCATGTTGTAAAAAACACTCAGTAAACCCTGGAGTTGCAGGGTCAGGTTGTGACTGTGTGGTGTCCAGGAGAACAGGTCACGGGACAGCTCAGAACCTGCAGGAATTTGAAGAACAGTGTATGTTCCCCAATTCCTCACCTTGTGAGGAATAAATAAACTAAAATAAAATATCTGTTTAACCAGCGGGGTTTAAAAACAAAGCATCCTAATATTGAGTAACTGCCTCTTACATGGCACATCAACTCCATAGATATTTGTGCTACTTGTCAAAAATATTCTAAATAAATAGAGAATGAAGGTCCCTGCTCCTCCTGAACACGTAAACACATTTCTGTGTCTGTTTCATGCTCTGTCTTCACTGTCATTTATGGAGCTTCTCAGCGTGCGTTGCTAGCAAAGTTGAATTTGCACCCAAGTTGTCAGGTCTGTCAACAAAGCCTGCTTCCATGCATTGTGGGGTTGTGCTATGATGAAGTTTCTGCAGCAGCAAGGAAAGTGGCAAGGATGACCTCTGAAGCTCTCAGAGGTGTGGTGATCTCATTCCTTCAGATTTTTCACTGTAGTAAGGAAGGGTAAAAATGATAAAGAGATAGGAAAGGGTAGCGAAAGTTTTGGATAATTAACTGCCTGCCTAAGTTAATTCATTGAAGTTAGCACCATCTTGAGCATTAAAGTTCATATGGGCATTATTTAGTCTCCATGGGAGACATGAACTGTTTTCCATTTTCCCTTTTTGGTCAATAGATTCTAGACTGCACAAATTCTTGCCTTGGAGAAAGCAGTGATTTCTTCTGCAGATACAAAGTCTGGTGCCATAAAAGGGAGAAAAGGCATTATTTCAATTGCATTCATGCATTACACTTTTCGAAAAATCCATATATTCATTAGGGTAATATTAGACTCTTACAGACTGTGAAATGAAGCACTCCAATTAACAAGGTTAAATTTCATCAGATGGGCAGAATATGGTGTCCTATTTTTAGTCTTCAATTTTGATTTTCAAATGGCTTTTTACTGGTGGCAATAAGATTTTTTTAAATAAAAATATTTCTTGCAGCCACTGGAACTGGAAAAGAGCAAGGAGACTTCCCAGCAGTGCCTGTTCTATTGGGCATTATTCAGGGATCCTATTGCACAGCCTAAGATGTCATGTGCTTTAGACATCAATTTTTAATCCTTTAGAGTCCCGGGTGTAACAGGTTTTATAGCGTGCAATACTAATAAAGGGCTTGTGTTTGGATTAGCAGGCTAGAACTTGGGCTCTCCTCCACATTTCTCTACAAATTTACAAAAAAAGGAGGAAAAAAATTAATTTTCAAGCAGTTTCCCTACGTACACACACTTTTATTTTTCTTTAAGTGAGAAGGTTTTCATGGTTGAAGCATTAGCAGGAGATTGGTTTTGAGACATTAATGACCAGCTAGACAAGTAAAGTGTTCATGGTGAGTTACTGACCATGAAATTATAAAAACAGAGAGAAAATTCTGTTTAGTCTGTTGAAAAGTTTAGGTGCCAAATTGCTTGTTGCTATGACTACTATGTTCTGTTTGCAACACTGGCTTTTTCTAGCGTGGTTACCAGTATAAAAGGCAGGAGGGACTGCATGCAAGTGGTGCTCTGAGGTGCAAAATCTAAATTTCTGGGCTGAGAAGAACAAGATTTGCTTGTGACTGCCGAGCTTGCTGACAGGATTGGCCCCACACCTCCGCTGGTCTGGGAACATAAAAACTTGCAGCTGGTGGGGAGGGGAATCCTCCCTGTTGGGAGAGGTTTTAGCCTCTCCTTCAGGCTTCCCGATGTGGTATCAAACAAACCTTTCACATGTATTTATTTGCCTTGCACTTTTGTGATCCTGACATAGTTCTAAACTCTTGGATGGCTCTATGTTTTCCTGTGTATACCTGTGTTTCAGAGCTTAACCATTCCTCTTGCTATTTGTGTGAGACAAGGAATACAGCGCCTTCGTGCTTGCTGCTGAGTCAGATGTCATTGCCAAAACTTTGTTTTCTCAGCTTTTTTTTATTCCTTTCCCACTTTTAAAGCCTCCTTAGTTTCAACCAAACAGTGAAATGCAGTCCTGTGTTTTCTACTTCTATCCCAAAGATGTTTTCAAACAGTCACCACACACATTAGGAGCTCCAAGCTTTCTGTCAGATGCTGTCTTTGGGTGCTATAATTTGCATGGTTCTGTTGACTTTCTACAAAACTTACACTGATTTGCAGCAGCTGAGAACCTACTCTCTATTAATCAATGCTGTGTGCACTAAATAAATACTGCAAGAATGTACTGACACTGCAAATAGTGCTGCGTACCAGCCCCTGCTGTAATGCCTAGATATATAACGGTAAACTAAAAATGTGTGTTGTCCTTTCCTGTGCTTATCCATTGGGACGTAACTTTTGTGTGTTGTTCAGTTGCTTCTTTTTGTCTCATGATATCACATTAACACTTAAAGGCTAATTTTTGGTTATTCTATTTCCCTAAGTGACTTTTGTCTTAGTCGTTTAGATGTTTGGTACAGACACTGTCCAGTAATGGTCTCTTGCTTTGTAATTTAAGAAGATTGTCTTGTGGGGTATTTGTGTTTGTGTGGTTTTTCCTGAGACCATGAAAATGGGAAACAGCACCAAATGTGCCCTCGTGCTTTGATGCTGTGAAATAGCTGCACATAAAGAGCACGTAAGAGGCCTGGCCCCTCTGCATTGCATTTCCATGGTGCAGTTGCGAAGGATGTGTGCCTTTCCATGTTTGCCTTCTGGTAGCTGCAGTGAGCAGAATGAAAGAGCTGTGCATCACATCACTGCCACCCCCTCCCCAGGCCCTACCATCATCCTCACTCTCTGTTTGTTTCATGACTTAATGCCAAAGAGCACCTAAGATCTTCTTGGCAGATGATTGTTACTCGGTGGAATCTCTTTCATTTTATAGGCTTCTGTGATCTGTAGGGAAGGGACAGGGATGTCTCTAGGGTCAGCGCTGAAGAGAAGCAGCTACTAGCTCTGAAGTGTGTAACTGGCGTGGACCCACTGACCTCTCTTTAAAGAAACCATCACCTTCTGTGCTACCTCCTAAAACAGGGCAGGAGGAGCAATAGTGTCAGTGGGAGACTAATGTAAAAAACCAATTTCTTATACCCAGCCTAAATCTCCTCTATCTTAGTTTGAAAACTCTTCCCCTTGTCCTGTCATCACAAACCCTGCTAAAGTGTTCATCTCCTTCTTTCTTACAGCCCACCCTTTACACACTGAAAGGCCGCTATCAGGTCTCCCTGGAGCCTTCTCTTCTCCAGGCTGAACAGCCCCAGCCAAAACTGTGAAATATGCAGCACTTCTTGCTTTTACTTCTCTGCCTTTTGGATAGGGTATCGTTTTACTTTGGCAGGGAAATGTGGGAGTTAGGATGAGTAATGCATAAAGACTGGATTGTACATGCTGGAGCTGTTGCTGATGTGTGTCTGCAATTAATAGGATGGTTTGCCCCTTTCCATTAAACAGGATACCATTAGTAGTGCCCTGTCATATGACCCCACCTAGTTAGTTTTATCTGCACCAACAGGCAAGGGAGAAGCCATTAAGATACTATATTTTCCCCTCTGGAATTTCTCAGGTTAGTAAAGGTGTGCATGCCTGCTAGCACGTCTAAAGTAAGCAGGGCTATGAGAGATGACAGGTCATGTTTCACATTAGAAATATTCCTTTTGAGGCTGGAAAATTGCACAAAGTGCAGCACCCTCTGGGACACTAAGGAGGATGTTATTCTAACTTAATACATTCACCATCAGTCATGTACAAACCAGAGCATTTGCCAGGGCTGGGTTGCTGGTTTTTCTTCTCAGCATCCTTTTGAGCAGCTCAGCCTATGTATACTCAGACACTGAAATGAAGGAAAAAGGATGATTTTTCTAAGCTGTGTGTTTGCAACTGGGCTTTTCATTCATGATTCCAGCATGAGCTGTCCCCCTGGCACCAATCTGTGTGCCCATGCTCCTCCCTGCTGTGCCACCCGGTGCCAGCACCCAGCTGGTAGAGCTGCTGGGCACTCAGAATGAGCCAGGATAAAATACCACAGAGTTGTATTAAAACTTGAAGTCTTATGTCTCTTAGTTTATGCTGTAAATGGCTAGCCAGTTGGGTGTTGGTATGGGTAGTTGGTATCTCCAGAGGGAAATTTCCATCAGTGGCTTGCTGTTTCAGGCAGGAAGGTGGAAAGTGGAAAGGTAGACAAGTCAGTGGCTGACACTGGGTTACTTTCCAAACCTATTTTCAAAGCTAATGTGTTGCACACAAAATGTTCAGTGGAACAGCTTGTATCTTCTGTACAATACTGTTTTTCTTACTTTTATCTAGAATGTTTAGTGCTTCATTCATCATAGGATCCAGAGAGACAAAAGGGCTGTTACATTCGAAAATTAATCAGTGGGGAGAGAGCATCATTGATAACTTAGCCTATATGTGTAGCTAAATGTTTTTAACTTTGTTAAGTTTTAAGCTCCATGTTTATCTGAATAGAAATTTCTGTAAGCTTCCAGAAGCAGGTACATATGTGGGGAAAAAAAGTCAGCCTAAATGAGAGCTTCTCAATTATCTTCTGTGTGTGCATGTTCAGTTGTACGTACAAAGTATGTATTATACT